CAGAATGCATGAGTGATAGGAGGCCATGCTCCTCGGGACAGGTGGGTATGCAAAAGACGGCAACGGCGACATGGCACCGGCAGGTATAAGGCATGGCCGCGACATTAAGGAGGCGGCCTTAGTGAAGCACCTCGGGTCACCGTGCCATTTGCTACCTACCTCGACTTTCTCCACCACCTGCTTGCCGAATGAGCAGACCTTCGTCGAGACACTGATCGTGATGTTTTCCGAACTTTCGTATCTAAACACGTAACATGTACATCGTCGTTGAGTGAGTGAACGCGACAGCCATGAGAGGCCGGTCAACCGGCGACCAACCTGCTGTCCACGGCGAACAACGCCGCCTGCTCGTCGGCCACGTTGAAGCTGACATCCGCCCAGAACTTGATCAGGAAAAAGCAGTTTTGCGGCCCCCGTTCGTACAGCTCCCTCAGGCCGGTTTTTCCGGAAGGGAACTTGTCGTAGATCTGAGAGATGTCGATGGCCTAGAGACAGGCAAACATTACTCATTGTGGAGCCAAAAAACGGCCGAACAACTGTACCTCCAACATCGGGTCGGTCGGGGTGACCGCACTGGAGATGTTGACCATCTCATGCCGCTTCGACGAGTCGCCAGGGTCCGGCAAACAGTAGGCACTGAATTCGCATAACCTGCAAGAAATATTTTCGCGTGATGGCCATTGCAACAAAGCCTGAATGAATGATGTCACCTGATTTTACGACCGCTGATAAGTCGGCCCTCCCATGGCGAGGAACTGGCCAAACCGATAGCGTTCGTGGCGGCCGCAGCCGCGACCGCGTAGGGACTAAGAGATGATGGCGGCGGCATTTGGAGCCCATATGGGCCGAGAGCCCCAAAGACGGCTGTGCTCGGTTTCACGTCCATCTCGGGCGATGACATCACAGTGCTGTTTAACGGGTTGCTGGGAGGCGGCGAGAAGCCGGTCTGCCAAAAGGGACGCGATCCTCCGTAAAGTCCACCAAAGGTTGTCGCAGCAACGGGACCCATTTTGCTGTGC